GAGTAGGAAAGCCGGTCGAATATCTGATGACCTCAATGCTGTTCGGAGCAAGGTCATCTCCGTGTACCGCGATTTACATTAAGAACAAAAATGCAGCCCGATATCTTTCAGTCTTTCCGGAGGTGGCCACTAGTTTAATCGAAAATTGTTACATAGACGATTTTCTCGATAGTTGCGAGTCCATTGAATCGGCGACGAATCGAATACAACAGGCAATAGCAATAAACCAATTTGCGAATTGGGAAATGCACGGGTGGTGCAGCAATGCACCGGAGGTCTTAAGCGGTTTAAACATAGCAAACGATTCGTCTAAGTTAGTAAAATCGGAAATTAATCAAGTGACTAACGAAAAGGTCTTGGGTTTAAAGTGGCTCAACACTAGCGATGAGTTAATGTTTAGTTTTAACCAACAGAAAATGACGGATGATTTCTATGCGGGGAAGAGAAGGCCGACTAAGCGCGAGTTTTTAGGAATAATTATGTCTATCTTCGATCCCTTAGGGTTTCTTACTCCGTTTACTACACAGTCAAGAGTTTTAATGCAGGAAAGTTGGACGAGTAAGATCGGCTAGGATAACGAATTGCGCGATGCAGAATTTTCCCGTTGGCAGCAATGGTTACGCGATTTAGATAAAGTTAGGGCTTGCAGGATTAGTCGTTGTTATCAAATGTTGAATAACCAAGTCAGATCACCGGAACTACACATTTTTTGCGACACGAGTTCAAAGGCCTTCGCGGCGGTCGCGTATTGGCGTTTCGAACTAAATAACGGAAATTTTCATGTTTCGATCATAATGGCAGAGTAGGCGCCTTTAAAGGTCATGTCGATTCCTAGGTTAGAACTTCAAGCTGCCCTTATGGTCACACGATTAGCGAAATTCATCGCCGAGGAGCATGTGTTCGTAATAACGCGACGTGTTTTCTGGTCGGATTCTAAAACGGTATTGCAGTGGATTAGGAAAGACCCCCGCGAATTGAAGGTCTTCGTCGCGAACCGGTTGAGCGAAATCGGCGAAAATACTGATATCAATGAGTGGCAGTGGGTGCCAACGAAGGACAATCCAGCTGACGATGGTACTCGGTCTGCCCCGAAAGGCTTTAGAGAGAGATAGTCGGTGGTTAACCGGACCGCCCTTTTTGCGCGGATCAGAGGCTACGTGGCCAGTTGAAAATTTTCAATTGCAGAATAATGACGTAGAAGCTGTTCACGTGAGCGTTGAAGCGACGGTTAGTCATGCGTTAAACGAAAATTCAATATTAGTCGACTTTTCGTGTCGAATCATGAAAATCAAGAGAGAAGAAATTGCGTTTAGGGCTTCGTTAATTAGTTATTAACATTTCAAAATTTGATGTTTTTGACCCTAAAATTGACAATCGACTTGCATCGGCGTACGTTTTCAGCATACGCTCAGCTGATCACCGCCGATCGATGCATATCGATAACCGTAAGTAGGAATGATGCCAAGATACATCGTTTTAAAATACTTTCTCATCTTCAGCACCCGAGGTAAGCCCACAAATGTCTTATAGGTACGGTCCTACTTACAGTTATCGACATGCATCGATCGGCGGTGATCAGCTGAGCGTATACCGAAAACGTCCGTCGATGCAAGGCGGATTGTCAATTTTAGGGGCAAAAACATCGAATTTTTAAATGTTAATAACTAATTAACGAAGCCCTAAACGCAATTTTTTCTCTCTTGATTTTCGACTTATTTTCGACCAAAGAACACGTCCTTAAAATATTGCCCACTAGTAGGTTTACACCCTGTATATATAT